TGCTTTTTGTATTTAGACTTAGGTCTACATTTTGTGTAACATTTAAATGAGGCCATTTCTAGATCACTTTCAGGATCTGAGTGAGTTTCTGCTATCCCATATATATCATATTTGTCAATGTCATTTTTGACTTCTTGTAATTTTAATTTATTGCCAAATTCTCTACTTTTGTACCCGTGAATATTCCAAATACCCAACCGCAATGGGATGGTCATATGTATAACAGAAACTGTTGTATTTGACTATCTTTAGTTGCTATATATATTATATAATTATATAACGGTAATGTCTAGTCCGCTATATATATGTATGTATATAGTGGGAGAAAATATATCACTCAAAGAATCTAAATAAAATATATTAAATAAAATGTACTTATCCAGTTTGCTAAGGGCTGCAATGCCTTCCAGAGTCCTTCATGAGTTGATCTGTTACCATATTCAGAGAAAGTTGACTTGGGCCAATGTTGGCCATACTGGCTCCTTGTATTGCGGTAGTATGATGGTCCTTTGAAGCGCTGGTAGTTTTCGTTTCTTATTTGTCTTCTTGGCACTTTTCTGTCGTCTTTTATTCTTCTATTTAAGTTCAAATATTTCTTTAAATTTGCGGCTAATTTTCTCATCCCTTTTTCTGAGTTTAGATGTAGATTATCATAGTAAACTTCTTGGTCTATCGATCCATCCTTTAATGTAGCAATATGGTCATTGTTCATATATTGTACAGCATGATTTCCTTCGCTTTGGCAAAGCCTTTGTGTTGCGCTGTTCACTGTGTCGATTATATCATTCTTTGTATTGTTGTATCTGTGGAAGATGATCCCCGAGAGGATTATCTTAGCGTTAGGCCACCTTGATTTACATTTCTGTACAATTTCTTCAATGTTTTTATTTATTTCGTCCAGCGATTTTTTGAAGATGTCATTTGTGCCGGTGTGCACCACTATTTGATTATATTGTCGTTCACTTTCAAAATTGGCAATAAAATTTATCATCTCCGCAGTGCCTCCTCGAACATATTCTTTTTTGATGTGATTTTTTACTGAAAGTTTTTTTTCAATTATTCCTTTCATCATAGAATCCGACATAATAAGGATATTTGACTCATCATCTGCTTCTGACTGTTGCTTGTTATTTCCTGTAGGAGTACAGGTATTCTCTCTCTCTTGTTGGTTGTAGTCATTTTCTGGTGGATGGTTTTGTAAAGGATCAAATCTGTTTTGAGTGGATATTGTTGAGACATTGATCACTGAGTCTTGAGAGTCCGACTCRCTTTCATCATCTTCAGACTCCGATGAATCTGATTCTTTATTCTCTTCTAACCCCTTTATTTTTGTTTCCAGAATCTTTACCTGAGTCTCAAGAGTGTTGATTCTTTTGCCTTGCTCTTTTACTATTTTTTCAAACTTCCTTTCAAGACTTTCGGTCACTTCTGCGAGTTTATCATCCATCACAACTTTCAGGCTTGTGATCTCACCCATTATTTTGTCAAAGAAAGAACGGGAATCTTTCTTAAGATCGTCTTGATCTGCAATAACATCAGCTAAAGTAACATCTAATCTGTCATTAATTGTGATTTGTGCCTCCCTGAAAGATATCAACTCCTCGTAGTCGGTGTCAGTCGCTTGGTTGTTCTCATCATCATGGCTGCCATGTTCGACAACCACTCGATCATCTTTGCATTCTCCTGTAGTTGTCTCTTCATCATTTCCTTCTTTCTCTTGTTCCGTCGATTGCAGTAGCTTCTTACTAATAAATACATGTCCACAAGAACATGTTTTGCAAGCAATCCCGAGATTTTGGCCACAGTCAGGGCACTTCTTTAAAACCATAGCTTCTCTTTGAAAGTAAACCGTAATATCTTTAAATTCCTTTTGACTTTCGAAAATATATCTTACCGAATTTTCAATAGCGCATTTAGTATATAAAATGAAAAAGCAAAGATCCTTAGCATATGGATAAGACCTGACTCTAAGCAGAAATCTTACATTTCATCATAGCACAAGCAAACGCTATAGTCCATGCTTTTTGCCCAAAAATATATATATAAGAAATAAAAAACGCGCGCGCGTGCGGTGTGCAGCACGCGGGGATTGGCAGAACACGTGAGAAGTGTTAGGAGAAATATATTGTATATATATATATATATATATATATATATATGCGATAAGTCCTTAATTTGTTCTTGTGCTGGGGTTTCTTTTTTGAATCATTGTGTACATTACCCAACCTAGTCTGGAATTCTACATCTCTTATTCTTTGTTTCAACAAGCTTTCAGTTGACTTACGATTAATGTCAGGATCACGTTGTCTTTCCCATACTTCTCCTAAGCCTCATGAAAGCCCCGTTTACACTAGCGATTTTTGCAGCGGTTTTTGCTGCGATTTTTTTCCGATTTTGTCCATTATGAATAATGGTAAAGAATTTACTTGTAAAGTTTTTTTCGGGATACCAAGATTTCCTAGACGAATGTCTCTTTTGAAGGTTGAGACAAAAGATCCCATATTTCCGAAAATTGCCACAAAAATCGCATCAAAAATCGCCGCAAAAATCGCCAGTGTAAACGGRGCTTAAAGAGAAAAGGGGGCTTTTAACCTCTTGCTCAAAAAGGCCTTATCTGATCGTTATTCTTAATTTCTTCGAACGATTTACGAGACAGTTTATTCTCTCGTGGGCAGATGAGCTTTAACCAGAATCGTCAAAGCTTCGAAATTTAGCACTTGCTCTTAGATGGAATCAGCCAAGTTCGCTTCTACAGGCAACTTGCTTTTCTATTGACTCCTAAAAGCGTCTTACAAAACTTAACATAGGCCGATTCAATGGGGTCATTATTTAGCGCCTCGTTTATGTCTATGCCTCAGACTTCGCTACCGTAAAGCAGGATTGGGCCGACTAGACAACCAAACAATTTTATAGTTATTTTAGGGTCTCTGATAAATTCATTTCCCATCTCTTTCCTTTGATTTGAAGCCAGCTCTTAACGCGCTTTTCTTCATCTCTTGTTTTGCTAGATTGAAATTTCCACGTGACTCGCATTTTTTTATAGAGACCAAGATGTTTGTATTTACGTTTTCCAGCTTAACATCGATGAAATGGAATATACAGTTTATTCATGGTTTTGCCATTGTTATTAAAAATGAGCGAACTTTTGATTCTGTTATATTTACACTTACAATACTGAAGTTTGTTCAGCCCTTTTGCGGATTTTGAGATAATCATAAGATCATCAACAGCTAAGCGGTTTTGCTCGTCTTTAAGAGATAATAGGTGTAAAAATCAGCGATTTGGTATCATTTAGGCCCCGTCCACACTATGCCGGATAAATTTGAATCCGAATTTTCACACCGAAACCGAAAAAAAAGYTTTCCGTCCACACTAATACGGCTAGCAGGCGTTTTCAAATTGTTCCACTCTGGAGACCGTATTCGAAAAAAATCGTTTTCGGTGAAGAATTGTTCTGGATTCGCCGTGACTAGTGTGGATGGTAAGCCTGACCGAATGAATAAAAATTCGGATTCAAATTTATCCGGCATAGTGTGGACGGGGCCTTAGGGTGTTAAGATTGAAATTTCGAATTTCAACATTTCTTGGTATCCGTTTGAGCTTGATAAGTAGTTTCTTTTCCCTTTTTTTCACGGCGAAGGTAACTAAATGTGACGACGTTTCGACGTTGCACAACGTCATTATCAAGTCAAAAATGAACTAGAAAAGTAAAATATATATAGAATAAATAACAATAGATATAAAATAGATATATAATAATGCATAATCAGACAAAAAATTGGGAAAAGTAAATATCGATAGCTAGATGAATAAAACATTTTAACTCGGAAAAAATAATATTAAAATCTCAATGATGTTTTTAAACTAAAAGCTTCAACTTCATCAATTTGGAAAACCTGAAAAGTTTTGAAAGTTATTATTTATTATTAATAAGTGACTTCTTATTTAAACATTTTATGATAAAATTGAACGATAAAAACATGTTAATGTGACGACGTTTCGACGTTGCACAACGTTATTATCAAGTCAAAAACGAACTAGAAAAGTAATATATATATAGAAATAATAACAATAGATATAAAATAGACATATAATAACATAATCAGTTTGGCACGTATGGAATCTGATTGTACATTCAAACTATGTTTGAGTTGTTTGATCAGCAACATCTTATTAATGAAGTCAAATCCGTCTTTGCACTTTTTCCAGACTTTGAATTGGCTGTCTCTCAAGGGACCATGCTCTCGGGCGTGTCTTCCAATATTTATTATTATCATCATTATTATTATTATTATTTATTTTATTTATTTATTTATTTATTTATTTATTTATTTATTTATTTAT